TCCACCCGGTCAAACCATTACAATATTTTGCACAATAAATTGTGGCTTCACTTGTCCCCCGAATTTTGCTGAACTGGACTTGTTGCTGTTACTGATACCTTCTTCCGTTCGAGCATTGAGTCCGCTGCTGGTGCCTGAGTGGTGAGAGCCGCGTCCCGTGTGAGTGCTGGGGCTGGGAGGTCCCCTGCCCGAGCAGAACCGCAGTGTCCTGGAGGTGCTGCTGTCCCACCCCTGCCGGCGGCACAACCGGGAGCCCCTTCACCAGCACCCTCCTCTGCACAGTGTGTCCCAGGACAGGAGTTGCGCTTCAGCGGGTGGGTGTTCATACAGTGTGTGCACTGTGCACGTGCTCCCCCAGTATTTGTTATGCTGCCAGCTTTCATAGGGGGTGAATGATCTGCAGTTGGAAAGCTGGTAAGGGTTAGTTTCAGTGGCTGTGCAGGCTTTGAGAAGGCTTAGAGTTAACGAGGCAGTAGCTAATAAGTTTGAGGGCTTTCTTTTACTCCTCCCAACCACCTTCCTCTTTCTGGTCTCACAGGCATAAGGCTTCTCATATCCCTTGTGGTTATATGGCTTCTACTATTTGCAGTACTAAGGAAATACTCGGTGTGCTCAGAGCAACTGAGTTCTGCCACCTCTGTAATACGATAGTCCCATATTGCTCAGCATAGCTCAGCTACCTATTCCTGCAAGTAAAGTATTGCTTAATTAGGGGAAGGTTGGCAGCATCTGGTTTTATGCCACTTCGAAAAAAATTACATCTCCTCGCCTTCTCCCCTTGCTTTTTCCCCTCCATCTCTCAGTGCAAAGTAAACCCAGCTGCACACCTGGGGAGAGAACACACTCCTCATTCTGCCCGTGCCAAGTCGGGGCTGTTAAAATGGGGCTGTTTTGAGTAGAAATACATAAATAGGTCAGGGAAAGCAGACATGCATACTTTGGCATAAGACAGAAGAGCAGTTTGAGGAAATGCTTTAGTCTGATTTCCCCCCCGCCCCGTCCTCCCCAAGATACTTTCAGGAGTTTGTCAACGTGGCTTCAGCATTTAGGAGCTTAAATTACTGCAGCCTTCGAAAGTTACCTTCAAAATTCTCTCAAAGATCTTGGGCCTAAAGGTTAAGTCAAAAGCTGAGGCTATTAAGATGAGCTGGAGGCTTTTCAGTAAGGTTTTCTGCTGCAGACCCAAAGCAGCCAATGCGTGTTCCCTGGGAGGACGTAGGACTGGGGATCTCCATGGAACAGTGGCTTTTGCAGGGAGCCACCCTGCTACGCTTCTCTAAACCACAGGCTAAGAAACCCCTTTTTCTCTGCTGTTTGACTAATCAGTAGAAGCTGGGCTTGTGTTTTTTGGTGGCTGATGGTGGTTCTTCAGAGGTGAGCCGGTTGATCCAGACTGGCGGTGTTTGGAGCAGAGTTGACGTTTTTGAGGAGCATTGCTGTAGACAGTAGAACAGGACTACGTCCCGCTTGAGTCACTCAGTATGCCTTAACTTTCAAACAGCTCAGTGGTATCCACCGAGCAAAAGTTTCATTGTTGGTTGTGATAGTGTCACTGATATTTTTTTTTTTTGGGGGGTGGGGTGGGCAAAGTTTTGATACATTGTTTTATGTTCCCATAAAACTATATGTGGTGTGTCAGTATCTGGTGCAAGCTGGTAAATCCAAGGCAGCTGTAAAAGCAGCCACCTTTGTCATCACTCATAAGAGACAGCTACCCCCAGAATCGGAAAAGGCACCTTCTTGTCCTGGATGAAACTGCTTGAAGTAGCCTGAATTAAGTTTTAGATCAAGTAAATGAACTAGTTTAACTTCAGGGAGACTGTCAGCATGAAGAGCTACAAAAGAGAGAGTAACGTCAACTCTGCTTCTAGGTGGAGGTGGGTCACAGTGAGCCCCCAGCAGCAGCTCTCCAGGAGGAGCAACGCTGGCTGTTGGCTTATGGTGCGGTTTCTAAGTTTAGCTTTCCAATGGGCTCAGGTCCCTAACAGATTCAAATGGTTATTTTCATTAGTGGGAACATCTATCACTCCTCTTGCTCTCCTGCAGCTGTTCCTAGATGAGTAGCAAAGCATGTGGGTAGCAGCCTCCAAACGTTAGAAACGGCTCTATGTAGGGCCTGATTCTGCCTTGCCCTTGGGAGTGCTGGTTGCAGTTAGTGTAATTGCAGTAGTAATTAGGTAAGGGATGCATTTGACAGAGACAGAAGCAGACTTATTTATTTGTAACCAAATTTCAGCTTTCAAAACACATCTGTTCTGTTAGTGAAGGAAGAAGTGAGGTGAAAAAACCAAAAGTGGCAAATAGATTGTAACCGGGATGGCTGTTCCTCTGCCACCTTTTATCTCCTGATTCGATGGAGATGTGTCCTGCAGTGTCACCAGATGGAGTTTTTCTGTGCGGTGCTCAGGACCATGAGAAGATCACTGTCCCAGCACCTTCCCAGTCAAAGGGCTGGTTCCTCAGGGTTGCTGTTGCTTGACTTTGACATGGATCAACTCCGCTGGAAGGTAAATAAGAAGCATTTATGTTGTTAGGTGCAGGCTTTATAGAATCAGGCCACGTTAGCCTGTGCTCTGGTTAGGGTGGAAGAAGCCTTAGTTTACCACTAACAAATTTTAATGATGTTCTCCCAATATACTAGGGAGCATGGAGCAGGAGATGAAAAAAATTGCTATTAAAATAGACATCACACTTATCCCTGCTGAAGCCATAGGACCTTTGCGTTTTAAAATGTCACAAAATCGGCTTGCGGATTGGAACATGAGCTTGACTATCCTTTTTGTGCCACCAGTTGATGAAAAGGAAACACAGAGAAAGTGTATTTGCTGGCCTTATTGCTCTTCTACTGCAGCTTCTCAACACTGTTGATCGGTGCTCTGGAAGCAGAGGTCACAACTGGAAGAGCCTGAACTAAATTTGAGAGGTTACATTTACTGACTCAGACTGTTATTTAGAGATAAAAGGACAGCTCTAGGGATCTCCCACCCAGCTGCCTCCTGGCAACTTGCCTCTTTCTCTTTGCAAGAAGAAAATATTAATGCAAATGGGCGTGCTTATGCGCAGTTTGGCAGAACCTAGCAGGACGGGAAACTGTGCTGGCTGAAGCATGTTCTCCTGAAAAGCCTAGTGCACAACGTCATGTGCAAATCTGTAGAGTAGAGGCTGTATTTGGACTGAGTTTGATCTGCCTGTACCCTGCATCCCTTTATCCTCCATGTTCTGTTTCTGCATCAAGCTGTCATGTGAAGCCATAGAAAAGGTTTAGGTACAAAAATGGGCACATATGCTTGAGCCCTGTTGCCTGCTGCCACAAGCGCTGCTTTGTAGGAGAGGCTGTGGATCTGTAGCAGCAGAGGGATTGTGAGACCCTGCTAGGGGCAGGAGGCCGTGGGGCAAGGTGGAGTCCAGCGTGAAAGAAGTGCTGCTGGAGCAGCCATCTGTTTCAGCCTGACTTTGGTCAGCATGTCTTGGTCAGCTTTGGGTCAGATGCGGTGGTAACTCTTAGCAGCAGCAGCAGGTTTCCATGCTTGGTGTCCTTGACTTTTCTAGGAAAACGGTGGTTTTTGAAGAGTGAGATTACATTTGGGTTCCCTTCTTAAGTTGATATGGTAGATGTAAGCGTCTTCCCTAAGGCAAGGAAAAGCTCCCATTTTACTGTCTTTAGCATTCCCTGTTCTCACAAATCCCCAACAGCTCTGCTTTACTCCCGCCTTGGTGTTCCCGAGTGTCCACCCATCTGGTTGCCTTCTCTTAGACAAAGTCAGCTGAAGTGGATGTCTGCTGATGTATCTACTTCAGTGGACTTGTCATATATTCTTATCTGTTGAAATTTTTTATTGTATTCTGTCACTATAGCATATGCAGTTCATGTATGGGAAGGTGTTAGCAGCTCCTACAGAACAGATTTTTAGACCGTCTGGTTTCAAAATGAGGTGGTGTAACAAGATGCTCTTTGAGCATCTGATACAACAGTAGCTGCTGGTTCAGTAGCTTTGGTTCCTATCACCACCAGACACTAGAGCCGTTTGTTTTGCTTGTTTCTTACTTATGATTTTAGTATATCCATCAGATACCTTACTTGGTCTTTCTTGGTACGTGGTAGCACCTGTACAAAAGTAAAATTACTGGAAATGAGATGTTTTGTTGTGTTAACAGGAGATTGAATTATGTTTTATTCTACTAGGAGAAGAATCACTTCCTAAACTCCAAAAATGGTTGTTTAGTCCAGCAGTAAAGACTATTGTTTTTTGCATGTTGAAGCTCCTGCTCCTCTTCAGAGCAATGATGAAATGCCTTCAACTAATGCAGTCAGACCAAGCAAGTGAAACACGGCACCCTTAAGAAACACAAAAGCTGCTTATGGGTGTGTTTATATGAAGTATAATAAGTTCCATACTGTTTGCACTCCTTGGCACATGTACTGAGGTCATTTATGGCATACTTTAATTCAGTCCCCACCCAATGTCGTCTTAATAAGCCAGCTGGGAGGTAGTGAGACTAACGTGGAAAACTCCTAAGTTGCCAGTGGGATACCGATTGTTTGCTTTGTAGCAGCTCTTTGGAAAGCTAGAAATAAATGCCTTGAAGTGATGGGATTAACTGAAGCGTGGGGAGAGGGGGGTGTTAATTGTGTTTAGAGATGAACAAGTAAAATGCATCTGAATTGTGGAAGAGCTTACAATAAAAGTAGTGACATCCATCCTGGCTGCTTTGCAACTTGGGATAATAGCTCCCAGTTGCAATGATGCTTCATTAGAAAAAGTACAGTTCTTATATATAAGAGCTAAACAGCAAGAATTCTAACAGTTAAGTTTGGGGTGACTTTCTACAAAAAAATAGCCGGATGAGTATTCTTCCATAGACTAGCAGGATATTTCACAGCAGGAGATTAAGCCTGTAGTACAGTGATAAAAATTCTAATATGTAATATTTTTGTCATTGCTGTTTAGATTAATTCAAGATTTCTATTCTCTCTTTCTTCCCTCACGTCTAGCAAAACTGTACAATCTAAAGTGGACTGCATTTTGGTAAGTACAACTCCAGAATGCTTTTTAATATTTAATAAACTGCAAGACCAAAATAGATGGCTCTGGAGACTGACAGCTATTATGAAGCCTTTCCTTAGCATTGTTTGCTGGTTTTGGCTGGGGGGAGAGATAATTTTCTTCACGGTAGCTGGTATGAGGCTGTGTTCTGGATTTGTGCTGGAAACAGTGTTGATAACACAGGGATGTTTTAGTTCTTGCTGAGCAGGGCTTACACACAGTCAGGGCCTTTTCTGCCTCTCACCCCACCCCACCAGCACAAGAAGCTGGGAGGGGACACGGCTGGGACAGCTGACCCCAACTGACCAAAGGGATGTTCCACACCATATGACGTCATGCTCAGCCTATAAAGCTGGGGGAAGAAGAAGGAGGGGGGGACGTTCGGAGTGATGGCGTTTGTCTTCCCAAGTAACCGTTACCCGTGATGGAGCCCTGCTTTCCTGGAGGTGGCTGAACCCCTGCCTGCCGATGGGAAGCAGTGAATGAATTCCTTGTTTTGCTTTGCTTGTGCGCGCGGCTTTTGCTTTTCCTATTAAACTGTCTTTATCTCAACCCACGAGTTTTCTCACTTTTACTCTTCTGATTCTCTCTCCATCCCACCGGGGCGGGAGTGAGTGAGCGGCTGTGTGGGGCTTAGTTGCTGGCTGGGGTTAAACCATGACACAGTGCTTTAAGGTACTACCACTAAATATGATCAAAATTAGTTCCCATTGCCAAAAAAATACATGATGTGGGTTTTCCGTGGAAGTATTGACTTCTGATTGCCAGCAGCAAGTGGCTATGATTGCCACTTGTAGAGCTGTCAGTATAGACACAGCACAGTAAGGTGACTTACTGCTTTTGTAAGCATTATTTTATTAAATGCAAGATTAGGTATTGCACAAATCAGAGTATGCAAGAAGCTAATTGTGCCTTCAAGTTCCATTGCTCTGCAGGCCTTTAATGACAATGATTATTGCTTTTGTTGTTGTTTCCTTGAAACAGTTAATTCATGGCCGGTACTACATTTTAAGGAAGGAACTAGATTGAACTGATGTTTGCACAAAACCTGGCAGACTAATCTCCTGGTCTGTGAAAATCTTGCAGGTGTCATAATTATCAGATTTTTGGTTTGTTTTTTTAAATCTTGCTGACTTCAAAAGTTGCACAGCATCTCAGGTACCTTCCCCGAAACTGCAACACTACAGGTCCTGTTAGCTCTGCTGTACTACTTAGGACAGAGAGATAATATTTTTTGAAGAAGAAAAGCCCTTGAAATGCATAAACATCATGTTCCTTTGTGCCTTAAAATAACAGGATCTAGACAGTGATAAGAGATTATTTCTAGGAAGCAAATATCTAGCACTAACTCAGAAAGAGGTTTTATTTGTTTGTTTTTAATAGTGAGGAGGTTGTGACTTTCTTTAAATCAGAGTCTGAGTTCATAAATCTTAAGACAGGAAGGGACAGCTTATTCTGACTTTCTACCTTCGCATTTCATCCAGAAGTACCAGCAGGTAAGATAAAAAGATGACATAGACAACCATCTGGATACTATGAAATAGAATCTGTTCAGCTGTATGGCTGAGCTGGATAAGAATACTCCTTAAAGTCACATTATGAAAAGCTAATTCAGATGGCACCGAATTCTCTTCCCTTAAAATGTTATCTTAATTTATTGTGGTAATAGTTTTAAAGTAAGCTGTATTGATGTATTGCAAACCAACTTTGGACCCAGTTTTGCCTGTGCTTAAACATTCTTGGATGCATCCAACTAAAATAGCAATGCAAAATGTCATTTTTGTCCACTTTATTCCTCATTGACGCTTGTGGACACAAAGCATGTGTCTTAAGATCTTAATTTTTTTAAGTGAGTCTTCAGTGGCAAAAGGGCAAATTGCACGTGTAAAACTCTTTTAACATCAGGTTTTTCTGTGGTGAAAAATGGGAAGTGAGATAGGTGTTCCTAAGTAGCATCGGAGAGGGAATAAATAAGTAGGAAGTTAACCGGTCATCTGCTTCTTGGAAATCCGTTTTAAGAAAAAGGAATTACACTAGGACTATTCTTGCATTAAATTCTGCAGATTTGCAGCTCTAGGGCAATGAGGTAGGGATTATCAGTTCGTATGAGCCCATTCATTTGTGTAGGTCTCATCCATTGGATGGACAAGCTATTTTTCTGAATAGTCCTCTTGGATGCAAAGCGGGCTCCATAGCTTGACTTGGAACAGAGCAGCAGTGTCCTGATGGTCTAATTTTCTGTTCCAGATGCCTCCTTCTCTGTCCTGCTGATGAGTTCAGAGGAGTCCTGTCAACAGTGGAAAGGCCACTCTAGGTTAGCAAAGGTAGATCTAATGCTGTTCAGGTAGTTTAAAAAAGAAAAATCCAAGATTAGAATAGTTTCAGGAAATAAAAATTACGCTGAATTCTGGCAAAATGGTTTCTGCGTTTTTACATACTTCTGGAAAGCTGTGAGCTGCAAAACAGAATCTAAAAGTATGTTAAACTAAAAGGCCGTGACTATATAGCTCTAAATAACTTGTTTGGAGCTTCCTTGCAGGCCTGTCCGGTTTGTCCTGCACAAGGTAGATGAGCGGGTTGCCTCTTCCGTGGAATGCGCATGGGTTTGTCAGAGTGGTCCTGTCATTGGGGTACCAGCTGCCTGCAGAGCGTCCGGCTCCAAGCTTATGGGCAGGTCAGAGCATTTGCTCTAAGTGCATGTTCTTACGTGTTTCGTTCGGATAGAAACCTTTTCAGGGCCTTTGAATCAGTCCCATGAAGCATAAAGGGACAACGTCTGTCCCTTGTTTCCCTTCTTACTGTAAGGAGGAGATTTGGGACTAGCTTTCAGTTATGTTGGGAGGTGCTGATGATACCTTAAAGCATTTAAACTTGATCAGTTTGCTAGCAATCTTAAAAGAAAGAACACCAGTAGAGAAAAATGAGGCTATGCTTGTTGCTGTTTGTGTTTGGTAGTGACAGTCACAGCCGCAGTGCGCAGAGCCACACACAAATGCTCTTCAGCACATAGGCTGCCTAGTTCAACCCAGGATAGCAAGAAAGAGAGGAATAGGAAGAGGAAACGGAGGTGATGGCAATCGTCTTTGTTGTGGACGTAGCTAGCAGCTGAGGACTGTGGAAAACAGCTAGTCTAAGGGCACTGGGACTGCAGTTACTCAAACGAGACCAAAGTTACCTGCCTTTGACTTACTATACTGCACCACTTACATTCTGACATACTGTCAGTTTCTGGAAGATCATAAGAAAATCATTGTATGCTGTGCAATCCAGAAAAAGATAATTAGCAAGAACTGTGGTGTAAACAGCCATTAAAAATTCATTATAACATCTTTTTAACTGTAGTAAACATGTCTAGCAGTAGATTCTCTTATGACTTTGCTTGTTGTATTTGTTGCCACATACTAAGTGAACTCTTGAACCTGATTTTTAAAACGGTATGCTCCATATAATCGCTCAGCAAGAAGGTTAAGGTTTCTTTCCTTAGTCCTATGAAAAGAGGTCGGTGCTGGTGAGAGAGTGCTGCATCGATGGCCATGAAAACCAAAGCTGCTGATGGCTGGAGCAGTTGCAGCGTGGGCCGCAGCAGTGTGCAAGGTCTGTGGAAGCAATGGGCCTCGGTCCTGCTGTGGAGAAGGTGGTAGCTTGTCACTTGTCTTTTTGGCCCTAGAGGAGACGGGCAGAAGCTCTGTGAAGCTTTGGCAGCTGTGCTTGGACACTCTCAGTACAAAGCTGCCATTGTTTTAGGGGCTTGTTTGGAGTATTTAGCACCTGAAATATGTTTCTGCTTCTGGTAAGATAAAGCATATCAAATGTATTTATTAGCAGCTTTTTAGAATAATAGGCTCTGTTTCAAGTATTAGCTATTTCCTGTCTTGATCATATTTCTAACAAACCATCTGACCTTGAACAAATTATTTTAACCTTTGCTTCTTGTTTCTCTATTCGCAAAGTGGGAAGATGATTGCTTGACTACTTTGCTATTCTTAGTCTAGTTCTTAAATAATAGATGTTTGTTCTGCTGAAGTATGACAAGTTTTAGAACCAGTCTGCCAGGAGGTGCAAGTTACGTTGGCATTGGCATAGCCTTTTTTACTTCGATTATAGTTATCTATAAATACTCAAAATGTGGAAAGAAATATTAAAATCAGTCCATGCTCTCTAAAATAGTAGGCTTGCAAAAAGCTTGCAGCAGTGCCCCTGGCCTTCAACTCCTCTTCACCAGAACTCGAAGACAGAAATAACCTGTAATTCTGCCTTCATTGTGGAAATACAAAATAGTTCAAATCTCAATGCTGTTTTTCACTGTGTTCATTAGAGAAGTTGTAATTCTGTTAATTGATCCTTAGTATATTCTTCCTCTATCTTGTTTAATGTTTGGCCTGACTAAATATTTCCGTCTTTATAACAATCCAGAAAAAGCACTTTCCCTGGAGTTTTCCCATGGTAATCCCTTTTGACAACTTTCGGATGAAACTTCACCAACGTTTGTGACCTGACAGTAGATCAGCAGTCGGAGAAAACCAAATAGAGCGAACCAATCCACCAAGCTCAGGAAACCTGAAATGATATTCTGTGATTCTGGAGACTCACATTCAAATCTCTAGGTCTCTGGTTCAAGCAGGAACATGAATAAACTCATGTTTCCTATAAAACAGATTAAGTCCTTAACCACATGTGTTGAACTGGTCTTTGTCTCTTTGTGCTGTGAAAAGTTTCAGTGTCTAGTTAGTGTCTCTCAGAATGGAACCAGATGTCAAAACCTGCTATTTTCATTTTAAAAAAAAAACCCCACAACATTTTGGCCATTCTGGTTTATTTGACAGCTGTTTATTTGCTTAATCAAAATGCCTGTTAGAATGAAAAAGAAAGTTGCTTCTGTTCCTAAGAGATCCTTGTTCTGTGTCTGTCTTGGGCAGCAAAAGGACAGATTCCTCTGGAGCAGATCTATGTAGCTACTGATAACGCAAATATAAATGGATCTCTGGTTTAATTTGTTTGCTACATATTTTGTGCATTTCTTTAGTGAACTATCTATATTTGGTAACTGTCAAAACAAAAATATCAGAGATTTCTGCTCCTTTGTATGTTACTGAAAGTCTTTGCCTAGTTGTGACTTGAGGTTTCTAATTCTTTGTTTTTAGTTTTTCTGTCTCAGAATATAAGATCACTCAGATATTTTGAGTACTTGATATATTTTTTGGCTAAATTGAAGCCAAGTTGTAAAAATAAGTATGAACACTGCTTGCTCCCCATCTTCACTGAATCTTCCTTTATTTAATGTGGTTCCGATTACGGGAGATATAACCTGTGAAAACCAAGAGTAATAGAGGTGGTGCTTTGTGATGGCTTTACATCTCAGTCCTGCGAGCAGTTTAGCATGCTTATGCATTTTTCTAATGCAGCTTCAAGAAACACGGTTTATAAATAGCCTTTGGAGAATTAGACAGTCTTCATCTGATTTGATAGAACCAGTCACTCAAGGTCAGGAAACTTCAAGCAAAATTTTTACTTAGATCCTTTTAAGTAGCGCAGAAGGATTCCCTTCAAAATGTCCCCAGACACTTTACATTCTATATGGGTTGTAAAACTACTGTAGCATAAGCTTTAATGGGCTACACAAAGGGGAATTTGTCCAAGATGATGCCGGCATCACAGTCTTCCTTTTGATGCTGTGACTCTTTTCCACTCTATTGACCTATTTTTTCCATGCTATTGACCTATTTGGGGGGTGGTGGTGGAGAAAATTTGTAGTATATTTTGTGTTCTTGTTTCTTTTCATTCATTTCCCTATGCATCCAACTTAGCACAAAGAAAAACTCAGGGTGAATGAATCTCTTTCTGCTGAGCTGGTCAGTAGTCAGTAGGCCAGCTAAAATGTTCCTCCACTTTCCCAAATTGTTTTCTGATTGCATTAAGAAATTTGAAAGTTTTGATACTTGGAACAGTTGCAGTAACAGAGTTATTACTGAATTCACCAGACCTTTAGCACTGAGAACTGGTGGATGTCAGCTGAGGTTGAAGAAGAGGTTGTACTTACCAAGGTTGTAAACCAAGTTTTGAGAGTTTTAGAAACATTTAGAGAAAACAGCCTAAACAAAACATAATGTTTAACAATTTTTTAAAGTAAACAAAATACCATGTTTCCTGAATCTCCTTGCACTGACTGTCACACTCCATCCCTTTGCTGCCACTTCTTCAGTGTTAAGATGATTTTCTCTAAATAGATTCAGTCTCATCTAATAAGCTTAGGTTTATCTAATTATCACCCAGGTAGGATTACCTCCGTGAACTGGCTATGACTCCTGGCTGGGTGTTAACTCTCCTGTTCCGAGGAGGTCCTGCCTCCCCGGGGCTTTCCCGCAGCCCTCGCTGGAAGCTGGAGGAGTTGCGCAGAAAGTGCTGCCTGGGGCCAGGCGGGGAGAGCAGTGCGTTTTGAGTGAAAACAGTGAGATAACATCGCTGTCCAGCTGCTTCTGCTGAGGATGTGAGAAAACCATAGTCCTCAGCTGCCTCAGCTCTAGGGATGCAGTTTTGCTGACGAGAGAGTCGCTGGCTCGCTTGCATCCTTTGGAAAGACTCTGCTGCATAATCCCAGTCAATTTTTTTCTCTACATATACATCGTTGGGTTGTTTTGTTGTGGTTTTTTTTTTTTTTTTTAGTTAGGGGGTTTGGCAAATGGGGCCTGTGTAGCAGAGCCTCCACGGCTGAGGCAAGGCCCTTCCACACAGCCCCTTCCTTCTGCCAGGACACAGCAAAAGTTGCTTCAGCTGGAGTGGGCACTGAGACTACTTCAGTATTTTTTGATGAAAGGTTTAATGTTTCTTCTAAAACCTTGCCCTTTATGTTGCACTCTGGCACATTAGATTTGGAAGTGAGAGGTTGTCTTCCACCTCAGTGTCATTGGCAGTTTTTTTGTTTTGTTCTGCCTGGGACGCTTTTGCCACATGGATTAGTGCTTACCACGCAAGGTAATCTCACCCGGACCGTGTCCTTTGGTGTGCTGCTTTGGCATTTGCCGTTTAAAACAAAAAGCAGCTAAGTTCCTCAAAGAAGAGGAGGTCTAATAAATAAGTGCAAATTATCTTGCAGCTGTTAAATTTCAATCTTTTCATAAGTAAATGATTAATTTTCTGTACACGCTTTCTTTGAAGAACATTGATCTTTTCAATAATGGGTTTGTTAAAGGAAAACCCACCAGTCCAAATGCTGTGATTTATGCAAGAAAGGAAGGACAGAGAACTTGACAAAATGCACCCATTAAGAAATACTTGTTTGGATATTCGGTGGTCTGAGCACCACTGCTGCGTAAGCTGCTGTAGGGCCACGCAGAAATCGGTGTCAGCAAATTTCAGGAGTTTGTGAGAGGAAAAAAAACCCTAAATGTTGTGGTTTGCTGCAGCTTATAAAAGCAACAAATCCAGTGTCTGTTACCTGGCTGCTGCTTGAAGTGTTTCTCTTGGCGCTGAGAGCGTCTGTCGCATCGCTGGTGGCCCAGTTCTGTGGAGCGGTTTTGCGGTGGGTTTAGGCGGCGGGGATTAGCGAGCCCCCGCGCTCTCCCAGCACCCTTCCCCGGATGGCACGTCCCGCCGGTCCTCGCCCAGAGTCTGGGGTCAGGGAGGGGACCCGTGCGCTGGGTGCAAAGCCAGCAGAGGGGAGGTGGGAGCTCACCTCTCCCTGGTACTGCTGTTAATTTTGTGCCAGCTGAAGCGAGGTGGATCTGGACGTGACTGGGGCAGGTAGGGAGCCCCGGTTTGAAGTGAAGTTTAGGTTTTTTGTTTCCCCCCTCTCTATTCTGCTCACTGCTGAAGTGAACAGCCAGGTCTCACTACCTGTCGGTCGCGCTCTCTTATTTTCTCTTCCTTTTGGAAAAGGTTACATTGGCAGTAAGACACCAGTAAAGGAAAAGAGAACTAACTGTAATCCAAAAGCTGTATTCTAACTTAAAAAGGGATCATGGGAGTCTTTGACTCTGTACTGATGGTGCACCACCTCATGCATTGCTTCTGCAGCACCTTCCAGAAGGAGAACCTGTTTGCTCCTTGCTGTGTGGCTTTACTCCCACTGCTGCTGAGCAGGCCTGAGTGTATTACCGCAACTGATTTTCCTAGTATTTCTAAGTCTGTGTAGCTGGTTTCAGGTGACCAAAAGCTAGTTTGTGTGTAGCAGTCACTGTTTGCATACACCAGGTAAACCCCCCCTGTGTCTGATCCTCAGCTGGTATCCCTTGGAGGAGGAGTCCGGCATCACGGAGATTCATGTTAACTGAATGGCTTGTGTTCAGTACCTGTTCAATAACGGATTTCCAAAGGAAACAAAAAAATACATATGTATATAGATAGATTTTAAAATGTCTGCATTGAAGTCTGTGACACTTAACTATTAATTTATAGTGGATCACAGGATCAGGTCTGACATCCTGCGTTATTACAGCGTAGCTGTTTTTTGATGCTGCATTCTCAGAGGTGCTTCATGTGTGCTCTGAGAAGATAAAGTTTTCATGTTGCATGTCTGGTTACAGAAGTGATCTGTTACTGACACTTTTCCAGATCCAGCTTTTGTTGCATGTGAATTTTGTAATGGTGACCAGTGCTTTCTAGTGTGTGGTGGTGTGCAAATAAAATAGAAAATCACATTTCTAGTCCCAGAGTGCTCACAGTCACACTTTCACATAAGTAAATACTGTCTTGTTTAAAATTGTATTATTTAGGAATACACTGTCAGATGATAGTTTTTAGCTGTCAAGCTCAACTCTTATTGTTTGCTTTTTGTCCCCCTGCCTCTCCCCACCCTTTTTTTTTTTTAACCAAAACACCTTTGTTATCTAGCAAGAAGTTGAGAAGTTTACAGACCTAGAGAAACTCTACCTCTACCTTCAGCTGCCTTCGGGTCCCAACAATGGAGACAAAAGGTATGTGTGTGAGCGTGTAAACGTGAGCAGCTAGTACCAAAACCTTACTTTACTTCCTGTGGCACTTATCTGCTGAGGAACCATTCACATGATGTGTTTGGTAGCAGAAGCAGCCTTTATTAAATGTTAAGGACTCTTCTTTCCCTGCAGATTGGGTTTTTTTAACTTCTTAATCTTTAGTGCATGAATAGCTTGTGAATATAAACCTCCTAAAATGCAAGAGTCATCAGAGAAAGTGTTTTGCATCCTAAGTGTGATTGTTTCTTTGCTTTTTATGTAGGAAGTGATAATATAGCAACACAAATGTGATGGTGGGGGAAAGGAGGAACTACTGGTGTTTCTAGTAACGTTTGTTTGACTAAAGGAAGATCTAGAAAACCAACCTGCAGATCACAACGTCACAGAATTAGTATATGTTCCCAGTAGGATGGTTATAGGCAGACAGGTGCCTCTGAGCATCTGCTGGGAAAGTTGGGTGTTTCCAAAGGGCAGCCCGCAAACTGAGTGGGCAAAAGCTTGGAGGTGGTCGGTAAGGAACAATAAATTTAAGAGGGGAAGTATGTGAACTCTCGCCTGTCACTGTCTACTTGCTGCTGTATATCAGTTAAGAACTGGAGTGTGGAGTCTCTTTGTTAAACTGTAGATGAAAGAGGGAGATAACTGCTGCTCATGCCTCAAGGAATAGCTAAACGTGTGAGGTACTGGCCCTCGTTGTCTCTGGTGTCTCTCACCTGTGTAGGCAGTCAATTACTAAGTCTTGTAACTCAGGAGGAGGTATGGAGCGAAGCTTTCATCAGCACTGCTTCTTCTTTCACTAGCGATCAGATCTCCATGTCGTCCAGCCGTGCCCAGCAGATGCACGCCTTCTCGTGGATACGGAACACCTTGGAAGAGCACCCTGAGACATCCCTTCCCAAGCAGGAGGTTTATGACGAATACAAGTGAGTGCTCCCAAACTGGATCCATACATACGGCTTTAGCGAGCGTAGATAGTTCTGTGACACTGGCTCTGCAGGTACTCCACTGATGTACAGGTACAAGTGCATATAGCAGAACAAGGCCTTATGTACTAATGTACCTGGGAACGTTCTAGCTGCAGTGAGGCAAACTGTATGCATTATTTCTGCCACTGAAGGTAAGACTGTGATGTTGAAATTGCACATTACATATGCTGAAGGAAAGGTACAAGTATTTCTTAACAAATATCTGTATGAATATTGTTTTTGTTTTGTGGACAGAGCAGCATGGGTAAAAAGCACCAGTCACTATCTTACACTATGTTTTGGTCTGCTTGTATATACATACGTATATGACTGCCTTAACAAGGATGAGGGGTTGAACTGTTCCCCCTGGAAATGCAGCTATTTTGCACATAAGATCTAGCCCATCACACCTTTCTTTCCAGAATAATGCATAAATATGGGACCTTCCTGCAGCAAACCTGATTTCTACAGAGGCAGAATGTATCTGAATATGTATGAAACCAGTAACCAAGGCCACTGTGAGTCTGTGTTGTCAAGTCTCAAAGCTACCATGTCACGAGAAAGCGATTAGAAGCAAGGGAGAGGGAGCTGTCTGACGGAAGTTGGATTTGAATTCATTTACAGAACATTCCCCACGGGGCGGGGGGGAATCATCCTCAGCCCAGTTGCCTGAAGATGAATAACAGATTTATGATCTAGAATGAATATTTCCATAATCTGAACGATTACAGTAATTTGGAGAGAGCTGAGTCCCTTCACCTCCTAAGTGCCTTCAGGATTCAGCCCTTAGTAATTGTTATTGCAGGGTTGCCTTCTGCGAATACCTCCTTTCAATTAACTCTCTCTGGTCAAGTTTTTTACTCTGACTGAGCTGAAACATGATGGCATTCGCTTGCCTGGGGTTGATAAATATGCACACACCTATTTCTGAATTCTCGCCATCAACTGGAGCGGTGACGCAGTCTGGAAATAGAGCCAATGGCACAGACGTGCTGGGGTGGCCAATCCCCGAGCAGCAGCCGCTCGCGCAGACACAGCAACAGCGGCAGCTGCTGTGCGGGAGAGAGATGGAAGCGTTATTCTTAAATATATTTCTTATTTAATAATTTATGGCCTGCTTCAGCAACAAATCTGCTTGGCTTCCATGCTGTGCCAAGCTGCAGATGCCCAGAAAAATCATCATCTACAGATTGTGGAGTGTGAAATTTGGATGGCTTTTGTATGTAGCTGCATCAAGTATTTGTGTATTGTATTTTTTTTTCTAACAAAATAAGGGTGGTAAGCAAATATTCAGGAAAATATCAAATGTTTGGAATCTGTTCTCCTTTGAAAGCATCTGTTCTGTTTTTAAAACATTCAGTTTCTTTGAATATTTTCATGAGTTATTCTTGCACACCAAAGGAAGAGTAGTCTTGGAGTGGGAGGTGGGGAACAGGCATATAAATAGATAAGAGAGTTAGTTTTGATAAGTCAGTTTTCTTTACCTAAGGGTGTTAAGGCCTCTCAAAACTCACTTCTGCCATATTAACAAGTTACCATTTCTCTCCTCTGTGTGCAAAGATAGAAGTTGCATAAGCACACAGGTACTGTGAGCAAGCTTAGGTACTCTGCACGTCTAAATCAAAGTTACAAGGCACAGAAGAGTG